ATTGTGTTAGTGATTTTTTTTAAGGCAAATGAAAGTTGGAAGTAGAATGAATGCTTGATCCATATAGCACACCCAATATTACATATTATCAAATGCTAACACAGTTGGATTTTATCACTTGGAGAAAATGCCCTTTTTTTGTGACTAGACATTAATTCTTAAACTATTAAAGTCATTTTCAGAAGTTGTAACATCTGAGGTTGTTTTATTGTAGTTAAGTTGAATCTTTGACATCATTTGTCTTTGAGCTGAATAACTTAACATCCTGTTTTGGTGGAATTATTCTGAGAACTTTTGATAATTCCTGAGAAACATTCCTGTAGTGACAATATATTTCTTTTTCTTATTTGTGAATGAGGTCATTCTTTTCCATATTTTTCTTCTTAAAATAACTTTAGGATATCATCAGCACAATGGCATGATTTGCAAGGACAAAGTTCCTAACTATCCTGGCAGACCAGTTACTGCTAAATCAATTATGATTTAAAACATCTTGTACATGGAGAAACAAACAGTTCTGTGGGAAATAAATATCTTTTCCTTTATTCATAAGTATGTTCTTCTTTGAGTATCCAGAGGATCATATTATAGGCTATTGGTTCATCTCCTTCACTACAATGTAAACATCTTGTGAGCAGGAATTTTGCCTTTGCTTTCACAGTGTGTAGCTGCATAGCACAGTCCCTGGTACATAATAATAAATGTTTACTGAATCAAGTATTTAGCTATTTTAGGAGGGAGATCAAGGCCCTGCCTGAAAGTGGGAACATTTATTAAATAATATATCCAGTTCGCTATTGTTGTTGTTGTTCTTGTTATGTGCCGTCGAGTCAGCCCCAACTCATAGCGACCCCTCCCTGGGTTTCCAAGACGGTATCACTATGAAAATAGATTGCCCAACCTTCCTTCTGAGGAGTGGCTGGTGGATTTGAACTGCCAGCCTTCTTGGTTAGCAGTCAAATGCCTTAGGCACTATACAACCAGAGCTCCCAGTTCGCTTTTAGAACAATGATTTCTTTTTTTTTTAAATTGTGATTTGGGTGAAGATTTACAGAGCAAATTCACTTTCCATAC